TAGTTTAACATAAGATGATTCTATTTATGGTTATAATACGAACCAATGATTATACAAATATTTTTTAATATGAAATCTGGCCATTCCTAAGATACTAGTAAAATTCAAGTACACTCTGATTAATATATACAATATTCAAATTGAATTTGATAGTGTGGTTAAACTGCACTAGCAATATCTCTTATTTATGCATATAGAATATCTACTTTGAATAGACTCTTAGTCTCTTAATAGAAGTATACTTCTTAGCTAATAACATTCTTTCTGTTGTTATGTATATGTATAAACTATAGAGTAATGTTTCTAATAGTAAATGTATCAAACAGAAATGTGATGTACAGAACATCTGTTGCTTCTGATAAACACACTGTTTGATATTTATCTCAGAAAGTAGAGTTTATGTAGTACAAGTTGCTAAATATAAAAAAAAGAATATTTTGTTTTCAAGATAGTTAGATAGATTTTTAAGAAGAAAAAGTAGTAAAATTTTACTTATTCAATTATTTCAGAAAACTTTATTCTTTCAATCTCTCCGATTATATCAAAACAACAAAAAAAAATATACTTTTTTTTATTATTATCAACAGACATTTTTTGCCGAATGACAAACAACGATTTTTTTCTTCTTTATTTTTAGGACATTATTTTAAAAGTGTCGTTATTGTATTCGCATTCTCTAATTTCTCTATGAAGTGAGGAATATTTCATTCTTCGGTTCTCGTGTTGACTCAGTTTTTTTCGACTATGCAATTCTAAAACGTTTGATAGCGTGACTTCATCAAGGCACATTGATCAATTTAATTAATGAATCACGTTGTTTTTTGTTTGTTATTAATTCAAGCCATTTATTCAAATTGTTTTCATTCTGTAATATAAAAACATTCATTGGATCCTAGTTTCATCGGCTAAAATGTTAATGATTTACTTCTGGGATATTCGTGAGTTTCATATTTTTGTTTATTTAAATAAAGAATTGTTTATTCTTTCTATCATTAGATAACTGACAGTTCTACAAAATCGATATGTTACTCTGATTGAATCTCATATGAAGATAAAATTTCATTTATCTATTAGGTGGAACTACATACTTGATATGATGTCGATTAATTAATAGAAATACAGTACCAAATATAACGATCTACATGCCGATACAGTTTATTTTCAAACAAAAAAAAAACAAAATCGATATTATTATATCAAACATATTCAATATTAGTTGATATCAATCTAATTACACATTTAATTTTAAAACTAAATTGATTTGACTATTGCATAAATGATTGTTGATATTTTGTTTAAAATAATAATAAAAAAAAAAAAGAAAAGTACAACTATTTGATGAATATAAAACTTATTTCAAGAAAAAAATAAAATTGCAGATTAAATATAAAATGTTATTCAGAAAAATTTTTAATCATTTTTCTTTGATAAAATTTTCTATACGAACATTTTCTCATACATCACGTTTATATACAAAAGAATTTATTGATCGTCATATACAAAGTCTTATTAATGATAATGAATTTGCTTCAATGTCATCTGCATTACTTCATATACGTTCTGCTGGTCATCGTGTTTATATAATTCAACCATCAATGAAATTTAAAGCACGTGGTCGTCAATCAACAACTGCTCAATTACAATTATCAGAATCAATAGCACTTATTGAAACATTAAATAAATGGCGTGTTGTTGGTCATGGTATATATACATTAAAAACAAGTGGTTCTCAACGTTATTTATATGGTAAAGGTAATGTTGAAAAAATAACAAATGAAGTTCATGAATGTCAAGCAACAGCTGTTTTTGTTTCCATTGATCGTCTTTCACTTATACAAATTGATGGACTTTCAGAAAAATTTCGTGTACCTGTTTATGATCGATATTCAATTGTGCTTCAAGTAAAGTTTTGTTTTTTTTGAAAAAAAAAATAAAATTTCTATTGAATAGATTTTTAAAAATCATGCACAAAGTGGTGCAGCTAAATTACAAGTTGCTCTAGCTGAAATTCCATTGTTAAGATATCGTAAAAATGATTCTGAATTATTTAAAGTAAGAAATATTATATAAATAATAATAATAAAAAAAAAAAGAACAAATCTTAGTTATTGAAATTTTAAAGGATCGTGAACAAAATCTTCGTGCTGAAGTAGCTAAACTTGAACAACATCGAAAATTATTAAAAAAACGTCGTTTATCTATTGATATACCTACTGTTGCTGTTGTTGGATATACAAATGCTGGAAAAACATCATTAATCAAAGCATTAACAAAAGATGCTTCATTACAACCAAAAAATCAATTATTTGCTACATTAGGTATACCAATAATAGCCAAACAGTAGCGAGATAGAATAATAATATCCAGAGATGAGCAGCCTCGATTCCAGAGCTACCCATTTCTGATAATACTCATGTAAAAGTCAAACCGTTTAGTATGCTGAAAATCAACCGTCGATAGTTTGATACTTGAACCGTCGATTGTGTTCTGATTGTGGTATAACAATAGTGAAATATAGGAAGACAATAGGACAAAAAATATCATCATCTCTGAAATAGTTTCATTTTTCAATTTGTTTAATTTCTTTTTTTTTCTTTCATCAATAGATGTTACTACATATGCTGGTGTTTTACCAAATGCATTAAATGTACTTTATGTAGATACAGTTGGTTTTATTGGTAAATAATTATTAATTTATTTAATCGATTGATAAATTTCTACTATTTATATAGCTGATATTCCAACAACATTAATTGAAGCTTTTCGTGCAACATTGAATGATGCTATAGATGCTCATTTAATAATACATGTTTGTGATATTAGTCATCCTGATTATGTTGTACAATATAAAACAGTAATACAAACATTACGTGAACTTGATATACCTTCATCAAAACTTGAATCAATAATAACTGTTTTTAATAAATATGATCTATTAAATCAACAAACATCTGATGAACAAGATAATAATGAAGATGAAGAAGAAGAAAAAATATTTTCACAAAAATCAATACCAGATATCAATATTAAAAATAATAATAGATTATATATTTCATGTAAAACTAATCAAGGTCTTAATCAACTTACTGATATATTACAAAAAAAACTTATGATTGCAAGTGATCGTATTACATGTGTATATCGTATATTACAAGGAGGACAATATTATCAAGTACTTGTTAATGATGATATATGTACAATTGAAAATATGATTGTTGATGAACATGATCCACAATTTATACATTTAAAATGTCTTTTTTCAAAAACTGCTTATGCAAAATTTCAAGCTCATTACAGTGGTGCATCAAAATATCAAATATCGAATGATTCATAAAAAAAAGACTTTTGTGAAACAAAAAAAAAATCTATTTAAACTGTGAAACTTTAATTTAGTTAATATATCTCTCGATAAACTAGTTTATATTATCATTAATCTATCCATTGAAATTCTTTAATTGTATACATTCGTAATTTAAAAGAATCATTGTTTTTATCTCACAAACAAATATCTCAAGATGATTATTCCGACTGTTGAAAACTAGGTATCATTGTATGAATTTTCACTGTAATCTTGTAGCCCATTTTACGAACTTACGGAAAACGGTTTGTACTTTTTTATATCGTTTACAACCATTTACAATGCTCTTATCTTGGTTCTGGGATATATAAAGGGGGACATAAATTGAGGATAGTTGTATTTTTCGAGTTTTCTTCTCGATAGTAATAACTAGGAAAATTTTGAAAAAATATTATTCTCTTCATCATACTGCATTCAATTTATAGAAGACGTCAAAATGTTAAACACAACGAAATTTTTCACAAAAAAAAACAAAAACAAAAGAAAAATGCTTTTTAAGTCTTCTGTAAATGGAATGCAGAGAGATAAGACATCTCATTTTGTTCTATCAAATAAAATCATTTCTAAAAAGCTTCAAATAGATGCTAAAATAAATTTGATTTTGGAAGTTTTGGTTTTCCAGACATTCTCATCCAAGCAATTTTACTAGAGTTCTTAGGCTCATAAATCCTGATAGAGACTCATTTTAGCTACTCAAATATTTTTTTCAGATTCTTCCTAACTATTATTATCGAGAAGAAAACTCAAAAATACAATTGACTCTAAACTTTTGTTCGTTACCACACAAACTTCATTGTATGTAACAAGATAAAAAAATGTCCGTTGCTCGTACTATCATTATATTCGATGCTGTATTACTAATGTATCTCTAATACGAGAAAATTACTCGAATTTAACCAGTCTGTCAAATGATATAGAAAATCTTTCCTTATTGAGACACTACCTAATTAACTATTCGATTCATCTATTAGTTGTTTTTCTTGGAAATACGTTCCAAAAGATATTGTTGTTCTACACTCACACGTATCTCTCAAACTAAAAAATATTCAACAATTGAAAAAGAGAGTAATTTGTTGGTAATAAAAATGGTTCAATATCAATAACGTACTAGAAAAAAAAATGAAATTACGTTCAAATTGTCACCTGTCGTATACTAATACTATTATAGAAATTAATAAATTAGAACGAGTGAGGAGAAGAATATCATTTTGGAAATGCTTCTTTTTTTTTTACATGAACGCAATAGATATTTTTAGAGTAAAATAATGGAATGAAAATTATTATTTTTTTTCTTATAATTAATATTCTTTCTTTTATTCATTTTTCAAATGAAACATATAAGCAATTCATGACAGTTGCCATCATTAAAGCAAGATTACACGCTTCATTATCATTAGTAATAATATCAATCAGAGTTTGTTGAGTGTTCGTTGCTATTTTTTCTTTTTCTTCCTTATATGATACCAAACAAACCATCGCATACTAAATAAGGAGACAACAGAGGTTATCTATTTTGGATGTAATGCAATGCGTACCAGATTATCCTATACCTCCTTTTTTTTTCTCTTCGTTTTACTGTATGATTCATCAATGCAACTAGAACAAACTGCACTGGCATTTTTGTTTACACGCACAGGTTTTTATGGCAGCATTAAAACGAATAATTGATTTAAGTAATAAGGATACTCAACAAGCTTGGGAAGATGTTCGAAATGATGCAACTGATACTAATTGGTATGATTTGAAAATTTGATTAATTTCATAAATATGTATGTTTATTTTCTATAGGATTTTATTAACTTATGATGATAATGGTGAAGTTATACTTTGTGGTAAAGGTTCAAGTGGATTAAATGAAATGAAAAAAAAATTACGCGATAATCAAATTTATGTTGGTGTTATTCGTGTTCGAGCAGTTGATGATTTTGGTAGTCAACGAGCAAAATTTGTATATATTAATTATGTTGGAGTTAATGTAGTAAGTATGTTTTATATATTTAATCTTATTAAATACTATTTTGTTTAGCCAACATTACGTGCTGCTCGTGCTTCTATGCATAAACGTGATTTTGAACGATTTTTTCATGGTTATCATATTCAAATACATGCTGATTCTCAAGAAGAATTATCAGAAGACAATATTATAGCATTACTACAAGCATGTGCTGGTGCACATAAACCACAAGCTTACAAATTTTCTTAGTTATTCATTTTCTTTTTGTCGTTTTTATTTATATTGATTGTCTTGTTAGATGTTTATATCATTTGCATATATATATATAACAGATCAAGCTATTTAGTAATTATATATTAATGGAATTGTTGATGATAAAAATAATTCAATTCTTTTAATGATTAAAACTATTTAATAGAAATGATTTGAAAGCAAAAGTTTTTCATCATTTAGTTGATTTGAAGACAATCTGAAAAGTGTCTCGGATGCACAAAATACTGATATTGTTCGAAAAGTATCGAGCATTAAAAAGAAAATGAATTGTATGTACTTTAAAATAAGAAATTAAGTTACTGTATGAAATATCATGTTTTATGTACGAAGGAAGTTCTCCAACTGATAAATCGCTTCTCAGTCGAGACTATATGCGTTATGTAGAACTAAATATGCTATGAATAATCTGAAGAGAGTTCGTGTTCTTAACTTATTGCTACGAAGATATTGCACTTTTACTGGAATCTTTAAATGAATATAGTAGTAGCAGAAAAACTGATTTTCGAATTTTGATTTGAAACTTTTTCTAGAGACA